CCCCAAAACCCCAAAACCCCATCATCTAAAATCAAAATTTAATAAGATTTTGCTATTTAAATAAAGAAACAAATAGTTATTCTTGCATCATGATTAAATATTATTAAGATTTCCCATGTCTAATTTAAGTGCTATCTTAAAATATTTTAATAAAATTACCTTTAATTTAAGTAGGATGGATAATAGCTACGACGAGCAGAAGACTCCGCTCATCCAGAACGAATCTAATCAGAATACTAGCAACACCTATAACTTTAACAAGATGCAAGATCAATCCCCAGACTAATTCAACAACGACAGCACTAACTACACCTAGGATTTTAAGAAGGAAGAGATTAGACAGCTAATTGATCAAGTAAACCTCAAGACTTAGACACTTAGACAGGAAAAGAAGGCCAAGACTGATCTTGCTCCATATGGTAAGATCTTACTAACCTACGCTGACAAAAATGACAAAATAATGATCACAGTCGGCTACATTTTCTCCATTCTGACTGGTATCGGCCTGCCCTCATTTGTATTCTTGTTTGGAGATATTGTTAACTCATTTACTGATGGAAATATATTAGAGGGGATCAAACCCACATGTCTGCAGTTTGCTATCATTGGTGCGGTAATATGGGTCACTTCTTATTTCTACTATGCTCTCTTAGTTATTATGTCAGAGAGAGTAGGGCAAAAGACCAGAGTTGCATACCTAAGAGCTATTCTATAATAGGACATTTCATGGTTTGATAAGACTAACGTCACGGAACTTTCCGCAAGACTAACAAAAGAATGTCAAGCAATTCAAAAAGCTCTAGGCGAGAAAATGGGCACTATTCAGCTAGCTTTTGCCATGTGTCTCTCAGGTTTATTCTTTGCCTTCTTCAGAGGGTGGTGGTTCTCATTAATCCTATTCTTTGCCTTCCCAGTCCTTTTTGCAATGACTTATATAATAACCTTGGCCATGCAAAGTGGATTCATGCAAAACTTGAGATCATATGGATAGAGTGCAGGCTATGCAGAACAAGCTCTCAATGCTATCAAAGTAGTTCAAGCTTTCGGGATGGAGACAACTGAGATGTCCAACTATGACAAATATCTAGGTAGAGCTAGAGCAACTGGTGTTAGAACTCATATGAAGAGTGCTTTAGCCATTGCTGGATTTTTCTTTGCTATGTTTGGATACTATGGTTACGCTTTCTATACAGGAAGTTGGTTGGTTACTGAAAAAGTTACAAATTCAAGAACTCACGATTCCTATAATGCTGGAGATATTATGGCTTGCTTCTTTGGAGTAGTGTTTGGTGTGTTCTCTCTAGGTATGGCAACTCCAAACATCAAGGCAGTAACTGAGGGAAGAGTAGCTGGAAAGATGGCATATGATCTGATTGACAGAGTCCCAGCCATTAAACTTGATGATCAAAGCTACCAAGAAGTAGGATCAATCAAAGGTAAAATAGAATTTAGAAATGTCACATTCAGTTACCCATCAAGACCAGAACAGAAAATTCTTGATGACTTTTCTGCTGTATTCGATGAGGGGAAAACAACTGCAATAGTTGGTGCATCAGGTTCAGGTAAAAGTACTATCATTCAGATGATTGAGAGATTTTACGATCCAGCCCATGGAGATGTTCAATTGGATGGAAAATCTATAAAAAATCTTAACCTAAGAGATCTCAGACGCAAGATTGGGTATGTTGGCTAAGAGCCAG